TAGACTATATCTATGCTGCAAGCAATTCGCGAAAATTAATTCAGCAAAATCTTAGAAATGCAAGATTCGCGAAAATTTTTCACTGTAAAAATAAGCCGGTATATGGTAGTATGCATAAAACCTGCTTGTGACTTACGGAGGACTATTATTGTTCCACCAATACCACTGGAACCACATCTGTATCGACCTTCAGTAGATCCATTGATGGTCAGGGTATAGTTTTGGTTAACTGGAGCCACGGGTATGCCAGGGTCGGGACCATTTTGATAATATATACCATCAGGAAAAATGCAAAGAGAAAGGGTAACCTCATTACCGTGTCTTGTAGGATTAGAGAAAGCTATGGCATCAGCTAAAATAGGAACAAGCAAAACAGTAATTTTACTATTGAAATAAAAAGCCCTAGGAAACCATACTGTTTTGAATGTAACACAAGATACAAATTGATACTGATAGCATTCCTTTGCTTGTCCTCAATGTGATTCTCTCACTATTGAATTAGAGTGAGACTTCATAGTACAAAAAATTCCCCTAGCTCACAGAAATTGATTTGTTGGGATTCACTCACTCCCTTACTATACACAGATACACATACTCACTTTTAACATTACCACTAATTTAATAAGATCATGCATGTACATACAGGTCATTTACTTATGCATACATACATACTAATGTACATGTACATGCAACTACTATAGATTATGTTATATGTACATGTAGGGATACATTTTTAGTAAATTAAATGTTAGTTGTAAATTATCATGATTATTAGATCTTACCTCTGACAATAAGTTCTGTTCTTGTACTATTCTTAGTTGTACCATCATTGACATGGCAAGCAACTAGATAGACTCTATTTTGATTGATGTTTGTTAAATTCCATGTGAAAATACAATGGATCTCGTAGCTGGTAGAATAGTTACACATTATCTTGATATTCATGCCTAGTAATGTCTTAGAACACATACGAATGGTTGGGTTGTCAGTGGTAGTTACATCACAATCAGCAGGGCTGATAGAGTTATTGCCAAACAGGTCAGATACAATAAAATCAATGCTAGCATTGCTTTGTACTGAAGCAGAGCAGGAGAATTCAACTTTATTCGTGCCATTCTCCACTAAAACTGGCTTCAGGTTTTTGATAAATTTAGTTTGAGCTATAAAAGAAGAGAATCATAATAATAATAAATTGTTAAGGTTACTAATGAGACATACTATGATCATTATTTGAAAGACTTAATGTGTAGGATGCTACTGTTGCGACATTCGTTGAAGACCCAGGCACATCTGGTTCAATTTGACATTCATAGGTGGTGAAAGTTGGATAATAATCAAAACTTAAACTGAAGTTATCAGGGTTTATGTAGAAGTTGTCTTCACAGGCAGAATTTTTAATACATAGTTGACGGCCATCTAGCAACCATGTAACTTTATAGCCACTGTGATAGTTTCCAGGTACATAGCCAGTACAGTCAAGAACCTCACGTTGTCCCCAAGTTAAATTTTTAGGTACTAAAGTCTTGTTTTCTTTAAATTGACCTAAAATGATGATGAAGTATTATAGTATGCATAAAACCTGTTTGTGACTGACTTACGGTGGAGTGTTATTTGTCCACCAGAACCACTGGGACCACACGTATATTGACCTTCAGTATACCTGTTGACAGCCAGGGTATAGTTTTGGTTAACTGGAGCCACGGGTGTGCCAGGGTTGGGACCATTTTGATAATATATACCATTAGGAAAATTGCAAGGAGGAAGGGTAACATCATCACCATTTCTTGTAGGATTAGAGAAAGCTATGGCATTAAGGACAAGCACTAACAGCAGGAGCAGTGATACTAGCAACCATGTCTTCATGGCAGAAGTTGGCCTGCTTTTAAGTAATAAAATACACAGGTCAATTTATAGAGAAGAGAAGTCAATTCAGTTGTGGCCCACTATAGATTAACATGCCAAGGAGGGAATGCACTGATTATAAGGGTGACCACAGTAGAGGCATGGTTATATAGACAAGCAGGTATGGGGAAGCACCAGTTGAGTGCTGATAAGGAAGTATAATAAACTCTATGAATATTATTGAGTGATGATAAAAATAGTACGAAAAGTTCCAAAAAGAAGCAAGACATCTTTAGTTCACTAGAGAATAATTCTAGATTGTCACAAAAACCTAAAAATAAACACAATGATAAAGTGCAGCTCTTAGTTGCTAAAAATAGTAACAGAATAGTGTTCCAAAGAACCTGTTAGATATACTAACTATACCAACTACTACCCTTGGATTTCACAAGTTGAGGTGATTAGTGATAAATACTCACACAAATAAAGGAGGAGAAAGAGAGTTAACAAGAGTTTTTTTACAACAACTGATAGTGACAGAACACATAAAACAACAAAGACTAGCACTACTTCTCTCATCATTGCTATCAAACTACTTTCCTTATAAGATAAACGACATTTATGACATCATCAACTGGTGACATAAACAATAACAACAATTTTGCAACTATATTGTATACTTACAACAATTGCTCACATTATGGCAGCTTCAATCATAATAAAATACTTTTTTAATAATAATTTTACAAACACACTATAGACTATAGATCTAGCTAATGCAAGAGTCTAAAAACTAAAATAAAACCAAAGAGGCTAGTATAAAGGAAACAAGGCAGTGAGTGTCCTAAAGGCATAAGGAGTGTATTCAATAATATATGTGATCATGATTCAGTTGGAAGGTTGA